GATGACCTAGCATTAGTTCCTTTTATAATTCTCTACAGATTAGCAAGAGAGATCATTCAAAAATATAAATATAACCATGTCACTGTCCTTCTCTGGTCTTTTTTTTTTTTTTTTTTTTCGTGGCCGGCTCAGCCTGCCCTGGGGGCAAAGCTGGCGTACCATGTGGTGCTCGAGATTGAACCATGGTCCCTGTGGTTACCTAAGCTTGCCGAAGCCGGCTTTTTAGACTGCTGAGCTATTTCACTGGCCCTTCTGTCTTGCATTCATTTACAACCTTGCCTCTACTCTCCTGTGTAGCCTTGTTTTTCACAACTTTCACTTATTTCACTTTCCTTGCAATAGACAGCACTCATTTTCTTTTTTGTTTTGGCGGAACAGGGGATTGAACTCAGGCCCTTGCACTTGCTAGGCAAGCGCTTACTCTACTGAGCCATCTCCCTGGCCCCAGCATTCATTTTCTGAATGTGCTGCTTCTCTTTTTCTGTACATCTTAGCATTTTGTGCTACCTCTGCTTACCCATTTTTTTTTACTTACCTTTAGGTCTCAGTTTAAACACTGTTTTGTCTAAAAAACCTACATGTACCAGGCCCTTCCTGTGCCTCTCCTGTATGTACTCATATACTTGTCACACTTGCTCTTCTGTCATATGCTACATACTATGACTTCCTATGTAAGAAACTTGACTTGGGACTCCCTGAGAACTGGGATGTTTACTGCCTATGTATCTCCAGAACTTGACACATAGTAGATATTTAATAAATATTTTTATAAGTTTATCCTTACCTTTCTCTCCTGGTTTTTTCCAGTTTGTCTTTTAAAACCATAATTTCTTTGTTGAGAGCCAGTTGCTGGCCTTCTGAATCGTGCAGTTCTTTCTTCAGATTTTTAATCTCACTTGCATGTATTCCCTCTCTTTTAGATATTTCTTCTTCATAAAATATACTTTTCTTTTCCAAATCAGTCTTCAGTTTGGATATCTCTTGCTGGTGTTCTATGCTGCATACTCCTGGTGAATAACTAATTTGTTTTTGCTACAGAAGTAATAACATAAGATTGGTTAATTTATAAGAATAATGACAAAAATTCCTTTTTATACAAGACTACACATATAATTACAGGTCATCTTGTATATTCTCATATAAAATAGTATTATTCATTTATTTAAAGCTACTAATTATCTGAAAAGTTGTAAATACTTTCCTCAGTTTACATTCTTTTATAGGCTGTGTCTTTTTTTATTTTTAAGTCTTTTTACCAAGATTAGATAATTGATCTTATTTTTTTATTTTTTGAGACAGGCTCTTGCTAAGTTGTCCAGGCTGGCCTTGAATTTATGATCCTCCTGCCTCAGTATTCAGTGAGTGCTGTGATTTCAGGCATGTACCATCATTTACCTGAACAATTTTATTTTTATTTATCTGAACAACTTTTTGCTGACACTTATGATTTCTTGTCTTACCTTTAAATTTTGACTTATAATTATTGTTGGTATATGGAAGAAAACTGAAAGTGTGTATTATATTTTATAAAAATGACTAGAAAAAATTTAAGGCATGTTTCTGTTTTTAAATGAATAAAATGGAGGATAATGTACAAAAAGAAGGGGGATTTTTGTGAAATAGTTTAGGAAAATGACAAATGTCTGTAGTAACATCATATCCATAACTATAAAAAAATGGTAAATCTCTTGGTCTTTAGGTAGGACATGAAGAAGGAGGAGAAATCTAATTGAATCTACCTGTTCAAGAAATAGGTGAAAATGGCTTTCAATAATAAGAGAGGGGCCAGGGAGATGGCTCAGTAGAATAAGTACTTGCCTGGCAAGTGCAGGGTCCTGAGTTTAATCCCCAGTACCACAAAAAAAAAAAAAAAAAAAAAAAAGATCAATAATAAGAGAAAAGAAATGTAAACCTCCTGGCTGTTGCTGTAAAAGTAAATGAAACACACAGATCAGAGATTATGACTGCAAAACTTTTAATTTTGTAACTTGCAAAGGTCATTAACTAGTTCTATCCTGTTTGTTGAAGTGAACAATATTATAACTTGTAAGCAAGAATCTGACTTGCACTGGCTCTTACTTGGAGCAGTTTTGCATGCCAGGCCACTTCCAAAATCAATGACGAATCTGGACCTTGTGCATACATCTTTGCTTTGGGGTGTGTGTGTGCTACTGGGGATTGAACCTAAGACTCTCACAGTGAATTACATCCTCAGCTCTATCTATTTATATATTTTGAGACAGAGTTTTGCTGAGTTGAACAGGCTTAGCATGAACTTGCCATCCTCCTGTATGAGCGTCCCAGTCAGGGATTATAGGCATACATCATCAAGCTCAGGTAAGTATTTTCTTTTCTTTTTAAAAATGTATTTAGTACCAGGCTTATAGGGTCTTACTACACAGAATGGACTCATAGTGATCCTCGTGTTTTCAGCCTACCAAGCACTCGGATTACAGGTGTGTGCTACCACACCCAGTCTCAAGATCACCCTCTCAGCACGCCCTGGGGACAGCCCTAGCACAGCTTGCTGGAACTGAACCTTAATCTCTGTGTCTGCCTAAGCAGGTGCTTTAATTTGCTAAGCTATCTGTCTGGTCTTAGTATTTTCTTAGTAAATGGTTAAGTACTACAAAGAGGATCTCCACCCTCACTCCCCACCCTGACCATAGCAGTTTCTGCTGGTCCACATCAGTCCTCTGTTCTTTTAAAATTGTATAGGAGTCAGGACATTTTTCTTTCAACTTTAAAGTTTTTAAAATCTGTCTGTCTGTCAATCTTAGCTATTTATAAATCTATTTGGTACAGGGTCCCTGTTCTATCTATCTATCTATCTATCTATCTATCTATCTATCTATCTATCTGGTACAGGGTCTCTGTGCCAGCATGCGGTACTGAGGATTGAATACAAAATCAAATAGGCAAAAAAAAAAAAAAAAAAAAGACACTTAACTAAAAATACGCAAAGGCATCATTAATAATCTATGATAAACAAATACTTGCAAAAATCCCGACAACTTTTTTGGCCTCATATTTGCACAGATTTGTGGTATTTATGAAGTGCCTAAAAATGATCTGTTAATTTCAGTTTTAGGTATGTATCTCTTGTAAGAAGATAATATACAAAAGAAGGAGATAAAGGTATTCCTGGCAATTTTGCTATAAAAGTAAAACCAAGTTAAAAATATAATCATGGAGAAATTCCTGTTGAACTATTTATAATAATTGAAATTGTGATGATTTTGAATAGGTATAAAAGCTTATTACACTGAGTGAAAAATAAAAATGTTATATGTTGAACTGTGTCTCCCCAAATTTCATGTGTTAAAGACCTAACCACTAGGATCTCCTAATGTGATTTTAGTTAAAAATAGTCTTTTAGAGGTAAGTAAGTTAAAATAAAATCTTAGGGTGAGGTCCAATCCAACATGAATGTGTCCTTATAAAAAGTAGTGATTTGGACATCAAGACATTCATATAAGGACAACTTCATGAGAACATGAAGGCAGATGTGGGTTATGGATATATAAGCCAAGCAATACCAAAGTCTGTCAGGAATTGTCAATAGCTAATTAAGCCAATAAGTTCATGCTGAAAATCCAGCCTCCAGAACTGAGACAATAATTTTTTAAGATAGACAGTTTGTATTACT